AGGCATGGTTGAGCTGAAATATAATGCGCGGATTTATTAAGCAGCTTTGTACATTTAAGTATATATTGAAAGAATATTCAAATGAAGATCAACACGAAGCAATAAAAAACGACTGCAAATAATATTAAAGTTAAAACAGTAGATAACGAATAAATGACAAGGGAATGTCAAATAATAAGGTAAGAATTTATTCCGATATACGGGATAATGGGGGAATCAAATAAATGTTTCTATGCCCAATTTCTTTTTATGTCAGCACGAATAAAAAAAAGTATGTTGCATTTTGCATAGAAAATCGCTGACTATCCCAAGAAGATTATCAATAAGCTTTAAAGATATTTTAAGCTGAATAATTTCAATATATATATATATATATATATATATATATATATATATATATATATATATATATATATATATATTAATTAAAAAAAACAAACCAATTTTAAGGTTCCATGTAATAAATTATTTCACCACAGCCCTTTTAAAGGACTGCGGATCATCAGACTTTACTTCTAAACAAAAAATGAAAATTTACACATTTTTGACGGGCCGTATTAAACATATGTCAATTAACGAAGTGAGGAAGAGAGGGGGGAGAGAGCAGCTATGAGTGAGTTAGCAGATATTGACACATTTAAACGGTTTTATTTAAATTATTTGCTCTGGATTTACATTGAGCTCTCTAGATTTTATCCTCCTTAAGTTTAACCATACGGATTACGTAGTTTTTCACAAACTATATATATATATATATATATATATATATATATATATCCTGACAATTTTAGGAATCGAGCTGGTTAATATGATTTTTTTAGTAGAAAATCTGACTGGCATAATAAAATTTGGCATAGTATATATATATATATATATATATATATATATATATATATAATATTAACTGTGATAAAGGAACCAATTTTAGCTTACATAAGGTCAAAAGTTTCGCACTCCTAATAAAGATTAAACTCACTTCAACAGCTAAGGATCTGCGAGACTAGCTCGATTCACCGCGTTGTATCCACGTTTATTTTGCTAACGACTTATTGATTTCAGTCGTAGAGGAATAGTTTGTAGATTAATTTAGGAAAACATTGACTAAACCTGTCTACATCGTCTTGGGCCTATGGTTATTTAATGTATGAAGTCTGAATGAATAAAAATTTCATTATCTAAATAATAGATATATTTTCCATAAAAAGCCTATAAAGGTAAGTTTTCAATAAAATTAAAAGATTTTAAAATTATTTTCTTTTTTATTTGCAGGAAGCGGCCAGATCCAGCTATGGCAGTTCCTTTTGGAACTTCTCACAGACAATGGCAATGCAAGTTGCATCACGTGGGAAGGTACCAATGGCGAGTTCAAACTGGTGGACCCGGACGAAGTGGCTCGACGCTGGGGAGAACGTAAAAGCAAACCGAATATGAATTATGATAAACTGAGTCGAGCTCTGCGCTACTATTACGACAAGAACATCATGACCAAAGTGCATGGCAAGCGATACGCCTACAAGTTCGATTTCGCCGGCCTCGCCCAGGCCATGCAGCCGTCTGGTTCGGATCCAGGTTATAAGTTCCCTCAACAAGACATGCTGTTTTCAACTTACCCATCACCTAAGCTTAATCTGATGACAGCACATGCGCCAATTACCTCTTCCACATCCGGTTTGTTCGCCACAACGACTCAGTACTGGTCTTCGACGAACAGCGGCCTATTCCCTAATCTTTCGGGCCACGTGATGTCTCATCATGCTGGACATATCTCTCCGCATGTGGGGTCCTACTATGCTTAATTTGATCTTTTTTTCACAATCTCTTTCTTTCTCTGTCTCTATGTCTCGAAACCTTCAACAGACCCACAAACAAATAAAGACATACAATGAAACTTAACTGCTATACGCATTTACATATCCCCAGTTAGAGTTTTAATGAAAATAATTGATTGGCGGAAAAAATAAAAATAGAGTGAAAACGACGAAGTTTTTGGAAATATTGAATGCTATTTTAGAAAAGTCGGTCGTTTTTTTTCTAAGTGTTAAAATCTCAGAAATATAATTCTATTCGTTTGTAATAGAAACAAACCATATATTTTGTTTAAAACCTTCGCTCCTGTTTATAACTAAACATGAATTGACTCGAGTTGGCCAATTTCATTTTAATTCATGCGTTTTGGAGATAAAATTGTAGAGAAAGAATGTAGTTTCTCAATGAAAATAAAATTCTATCTTTTTTTTATGAATTCGCCATAAATACATTCCAAATGAAACGGTCTTGACACCAAGATATCTTTAAAACGGTCAGTAAAAAAAAATGAAATTTTATTTTCATAGATTTTTACCAGGCAAAATGCTTATAAAGCAATGCTATTCGTAAGAGTGAAAACAGACTTTTAGAAAAAAAGAGTTAATGCATTAAAATATTTAAAATATATTCGCATCATTAGAAATCTTGACAAAAATATTAGGCTTCATTCTTCAAAATAATACAAGAAATTTTGTTTGGAGGCATAGTTTGCGATTACAAGTATTTTATCAATTTTAATTATAATTACATATTTTTCATCAAATTTAGTTAATATTTTAGTACTGTTTAAAATCAAACTGAAATTCTTTCAGGCATACACACATAGGTACACAAGTGCATATATAAATTATCAATATATATATATATATATATATATATATATATATATATATATATATGTACGTATATATATATATATATATATATATATATATAACAAAATTTTTGAGGAAACAAATATTTTGCCACCACCGGTATAATCATGCAGTAATTTATAATTTTGGTTTCACTGCATGCAAAAACTCTCTCTTATATGAAAAATATCTATATAATTATATATAGGTAATAGATATATATATATATATATATATATATATATATATATATATATATGTAATTATGTATGTTTATAAGCCTGCATATTTAAGTTATTCATGTATAGTTAGATACACACACCAGGTATATGTTGTCATATATATATATATATATATATATATATATATGACAAAGTAGAAAAAGTTTTGTGTGACACGTTTCTTCCCTTCCCACTAATGCTTATTCCACTTTGTCATACGTCTTTCCTCCAAATCTGTTCTTGATATATAACAAATTATCGTTATCTGATATATATATATATATATATATATATATGTATGTGTTTGTGTGTGTGTGTACACACAAGGTGCATTCCAGATATGTTCTGATACTGTCAGGAGAAGCTTTATTAATTTAAAAAATTATCGTCTCATATCAATGCAGTCACTTCGTGAAGACCCCATGGAAGGTACCACAAGTGGAGGGGTCCAGGATCCTAGTCACAGTCTATATATTCCTATGTCTTCAAAACGACTGTCCATGAAGCTTCAAATTCTGCTTGTGGAACAATCAAAATAAGAGGGAGCAAGGTCTGAACTGTATGGAGAATGAGGGACAATTTTGATGCACATTTCTGTCAACACAAAACCTTATTGCATTTCAAATTTCCAAATTGTCTTCATAACCTGACTCCATCCTGCACACTTGTCAGCTGTGACAAGCAGTGTTTAGTAAGGTATGTTCAAAAAGCTGTTACAGTTTCTCCTTTAGTATGGAAAAGCAACGTTAGACGTATTGTAAATATATTCTAAAATTACACAACTCTAGAACATTTATAACGGCTTCGCCTGAAAACGTCTCAAAACGTACGGAATCCACCTCGTATCTATGTGTGTATATGAACACACACACACACATATATATATATATATATATATTATGAACATTTCAATGCAATAACAAATCTAATTTGCATTTTAGGAGTGAAAGTGTTGTAGTGGAATCAGACGAATTTGTAAAATGCAAGGGACTTTTTCTTGCCTCTTTTTGCTTGTGTTCGATTCTTGTGTATAGAATTAAAGAAATTGCAAACAATCTTTTTCTTCGGTTTGAATCCAGTATGATTCCACTCGTGATAAATTTGCCGTCTCTATTCCATGACCAACGAAATCTTCAACATTTGTCTATCAATTTATGATTACATTGACTTTATCAGTAAAAAAAAACAAACAAAAAACAAGTCTGTCTTTCTAATACCATTCTAGTATTTATTCTCTAAGTTTTATTTGTGAAACACTTATGAAAAAAAATCTAATTTTATAAATCATTCAGTTTCTTACATACTTATTATATAGTATATGTTAAACAACTCACATATCTAAGCATTTATATCTATACATCATTAAATGTATATGTATATAAGGCGAGAAAATCAATTTTAAATTCAATTTAAATATAAATGTGCATGCAATATATATATATATATATATATATATATATATATATATATATATATAACAGTATGTAATATATATAAGATCATATGTATAATTATGACACACACATGTATATATATATTAGGTGCGCCAAAAACAACGCCCTTTTTATTTATTAACGTTTATTGAAAAAAATGAATTACAGTAGTTTAAGAAAATTTATAAGTATTGTCACATACAAACAACATGATTTGTTATGATTAACAAGCAATTTAACATGCTTGCCGTCATGTTCAATGCAACACTTCTACAAACCATTTGACACATTTCTACATTAATTTCAGAAAAATTTTAGTGGGTATTACTTGGTGTAAATCAAGAACAGATTTCGGTTCGAGTCTGTAAACAAGATCTTTCAGTACACTCTACAAGAAAAATAGTCTGGTGGTGTTAGGTAGGTCAGATGGTCGTGGTAGCCACTTAATTGCTCCACATCGTCCTCTTCATCCTAGCTCGAAATTAAAATTTAACCATTCCCGAATGCGTAAGTCAGAGTTACTTAAGCCATCTTAAACTAGTGTAATTTTATTCTTGTTCAATAAAAGTTAATAAACAAAAAAGGGCGATACTTTTGCCGAACCATATATATATATATATATATATATATATATATATATATATATATATATATATATATATATATATATATATATATATTCGTGCGTAAATTTCCTCAGATAAAGGTAGATAATGATTATTATAATTATGACAAATGTATATAAGTAAATAAATAAAGAGAACCTCTAAAAACTATTTGTATATACAACCGTTTCCTACTTACTTTCTCTCCCTTTTTGGCTTTTCTGTTTCCTTCGCCACCGATTCCAGCCGATTATTGTCTCGGCGTCTCTCTCAAAATAACAATATAAGTTATTTTCCTATTCTCCGTTTTTGCTAGCTGAATATTTTTTTTATACTCACTCAGCTTTTGAAAAATTCTAAAATCGATATTCCACATGAGAAGAGAGGGAGAAATCCGCTTATAAAATTAAAATATTGATACCTTTTACGTGATGCCGTTGTATTAAACTTTTTTTTTTCTTTCAAATTTTTATTTTTATTTTACATATTTTTTCCCCAAATTGCGACGAACTTTCTATCGAGGTGATATTTTTTCTTGTATACGAATAATAAAATTATAAATAATATTCATCATATCAAGCATTGCCATTCAGAAAATACAATATTCATGATCAAAATAAAAAAACAAAAATATTGAATTAAGCAAATATAAATCAGATCTTTAACATGTTTTAGTAAAAACCAAATAAATTTGTATAGTTTCAACAAATTACTTGAAAAGAAACTAGTTAACAAATTTTAATTCAATCGTAAATATTTTAAACAAATCAAGTAAGTATTTTGGAGCGAGCTATAAGCACAAACCTGTTGAAAGATAAGAAAAAAGGTCATATTATATTTCTGTAAACTGTAATTTTAAAATGTATAGAACAACTAATGCAGAGTCTTTGGTAAATATATATATATATTTATTATTGCTATAAACACTTCATTTAGTCAATACATGTGTTTGTGTAGACACCTTTGTTTTTTTAAACAGTGTAATTGACGTCTACCGGCTTGGGCAGTCGAAAATCTTAATAAAAAATATGCCTCCCCAGAGGGATGCGTTAGCCAACTCAGTCACGAGAGACCTCACTGCAAAAGTATGCTCAATTAACCTTTTTAAGAAAGGCACATCTCTCGTTCGGACATTTTGAAGTCTATATTTGCTAACTTTATTTTCGTACCCAAAACGTAAACAAAGATAAATCTATTGATTTAATGGTTTAGTAGAACAAGAGTTTGAAATAGCAAACGAAATTCCAGTGACATCTTTTACTCTCTGTGATCATTGCAGTTAGTCAACATATTCATAAATAGAAAGAACCTTAATAATATATGTATTTGATGTAAGCAAGACGCTTTAAAACAAATAAAAATAGTCTGCGAACAATTGGTTTGAAAAATAAAGCATTACTGATACATGTTCGTCTCATTGTAGCCAATTAAATTTAAAAATAAAATGAATGTCATGTTAGTGAAAGTAAGTTTTGAACTATTGTGACTAAAATGTACGTGTCAGCTATTGTTGAAGTCTTTTCCAAAGGGAAATAACTCATTGTTATCAGACATAACTTTTTTTTTTTTAAATTAGAATTTGTTGTTCTACAGAATTGCCAAATTGTTGTAGGCCTGTTCAGTAAATATGTATCACTTGTCAAAGTTAGTACTGGAAATAAACTGAAATAGCACACACGGCGTTGAAGTATATAAAATGTTTGTACAATATAGAATATTTGAAATAAATACATAAACTATAAGACAAAATATTAATACTAAGCAACCGAAGAAATAATAATTCTGGATATTTCCTTCAATTTTTGACAGTGAAAATCGAGTGGACATTATACTCTTTGTGTCAGGAAACCATAACCACATAATTGTAAATACCAGCACAGACAAATTAAATGACCACACATAGTTATAGTACACATTTTCAAAGGAGATAATTCGAAGACGATAAATAGAATTGCACTTACAATATTTTTACAACCAAATAAATAAGTACATAGATAACACTGTATCCTGAAAATTCAATCGTTTCATTGAACTGTATTAATTCCATCATTGTAAAGTAGAATCAATTTCTCAAGTCGTTAAGTTTTCCTCTTAGATGCATGGCACAGAAAGTGTATAAAATAAAGGAACAGTAACTCTCAGTAAATAAAAGTCCGCATTTCAGTGGCTTGTCTCATGGCAGAAATAATTACGTATTTTCTCCGGGTGTTAAGAAGCCAGAATTTCGAATGCTTTATGCTATAGGTTGTTCTCTCTCACCTTGGAAAGTCAGTTTACAATTATATACATTTTCTATGAGCATTAAGGCGAAGTGAATGCAATAGAATGCATCGATAATTGCTCGGCACGCCTAAGTCATTTTTCCACACCGATATCCACAATCCGCGCTTCAATAAAGCACCAATCGAGTATCATAAAAGCACAAAAATTATGTATGATTCGTGGATAATTAACTACTAAAGATAGACCCATGATTTTGATAAGCGCGCTCAATGTACACACACACACACACACACACACACACACACACACACACACACACACACACACACACACATATATATATATATATATATATATATATATATATATATATATATATATATATATATAGGGGTTAAAATTAAGTTTAATATGTTCAAACTCTGGAACGGAGGTTTTCACCAGATTATACGATTATACGTTCCCTACGGAAGAGTGTTCGGGTTCATCCCTAGTAATGAGGTCTTCAAAAGGGAAGTACCAAAGATTGTTCGAGCTGTCTATAGGTACCTATTTTAAACTCGGTTTTAAATACATTTCTTCTTACTGGGAGTTCTTTCATATATATATATATATATATATATATATATATATAATAATTGTCGAACTTAATCCATTTCATAATACATATATATATATATATATATATATATATATATATATATATATCAAAATATATATTTCAGTATTTCTTTGACACTCGACAAAATAAAATACTGACATTAAAAAAGATAATAATAATCTTTATATACCTTTAATGTGCCAATAGTTTATAAATTACTGTTAACGAATAACACACAGCCACATAGACACACATAAGTATGTATGCATACTTTCATATATATATATATATATATATATATATATATATATATATATATATATATATATGTATAATATATATATATATATATATATATATATATATATATATGTATATATATGTATATATACATATGTATGTATACATATGTATGTATATATATGTATGTATATATATGTAAATATATATGTATATTTATATGTATGTATATATATGTATATATATATATATATATATGTGTATATATATGCATATATATATGTTATGTATATTAAGAAATGGACAACGTTAAACATGAAAAATGTCCTTAATAAATGATATGTATATGTATATATATATGTATACATATATATATGTATATATATATATATATATATATATATATATATATATATATATATATATATATATATATATATATATATATAGATAGATAGATAGATGTACAGTGTGGACATTGAAATGATTTGTATGCCTACACTTTAGCTACAAATGTTCCATACTAAATCATGAGCACTTTTCTAACAATAAATAAAATTTTAATCTATCTATCTATCTATCTATATATATATATATATATATATATATATATATATATATATATATATATTATTTGGTTAAAACTAGAAAATATGTACTTATATCACACACATGCAATAAAAAATAATATTTTTAAAACGACAGAGAGAAAAAAGAAAAGAAAAAACAAAAAAATAAAAATAAATAAAGATGGAAGGAAATATCCTAACAAATTGTTTTGGTCGCAAGGTATGCTTTTATTAATTTTTGAAATATTTTGCATATTTTGTCTTCCTTATGTATCATACTTACTACAAAATGCGATAACGAATTTTTGTAGGGTTTTAAATTAATAAACTTCAAAAAGAAAATATAGATTTTTACGAGTAGAAGCATATATATATATATATATATATAAAAAAAAAACATAATAATATCAATTATAAAAAAACGAATAACATTTAACACAAATCAAATCTGCAAAAGAAAAGTAGACTAGTAAAATAATTCCATTATATATTTATTACGGATGTGGAATATATATATATATATATATATATATATATATATATATATATATATATAAAATACACTGATAATTTATACTGATCAGAGTGAATGATTTCTATTGAAAAATTAAAAAAGCCGCTTAAAACCTATTTTTTCTTAGATTCCATGAAATCATTTTTTGTTCGAATGATATTATTAGGTACATTGACATTATCTGCGTAGGCTCTATATTGTGAGTTTCGACTCATCCCACCACTTCCCAAACCCGAACCCAGCCCATCCATACTAACAACTTCGTTTTATGTTTTCTTGTGTGGGTGTGTGTGGCAGATCTCCAATCCCCCATCGTTGCCAAGTGTCCGGTTTGCACATGATGACCTCCACGTCCCAACCGACCTCCACTAAAATTCGCAACTGTGACCCTCATCTCGTTTCTCTCCACTCCAGATGGATAAATGACACCGCATGACAAATAGCCCTCACCGATGTATATACATTGTCACGTGAGCTTGTATGAAAGGTTCTAAAGAATAAAGTAAAATATCAAATCTATATGCGTTGGTTGTAATTATTGACTTGTTTTTTTTAAAATTTAATGCTTTTTATCTTTTTATTATTCACTCTACATGATCTATCTATCTATCTATCTATCTATCTATCTATCTATCTATCTATCTATCTATAGGGCTGAGGCTGAGGATTGGCATATAGTTGTGCTAGTCTGAAATAGACTATACACACATGAGGTAATTTTGGATTTTTTGTTGTATGAAATATATGCTCTGTTATAATAAATACATTGCGCTCTGTCTGCGAATCAGTTTTAATATCCGATATTACTAGGATCCACCTGGATTATATACCAAGGGATCTATTACATATACTATATATATATATATATATATATATATATATATATATATATATATATATATACGTGTATGTGTCAGTGGATTCATATCTATTACAGTCTCCCTCTTTTTTTCTCTCTATATATATATATATATATATATATATATATATATATATATATATATATATAAGTGCGCAGGTATGCAGAAAATAGAAAAGAACACGTTGGGTGCATAATCCGGAGTTCCTTAGTATTTTTGTTTTTATTTTTAAGAAGACAGTTCTCCATACATAAGTAAGCGAAATAAAATATGGGCGAAAGAATCATATTTTTAAACAAAAAAAATTATATATATATATATATATATATATATATATATATATATATATATATATATTAGTCGATTCCTATCTTTCTATGCATCTCTTCTCTCTTTACACACACACACACACATATATATATATATCAAATCATCAATCTCTCTCTCTTTACATGTATATATATATATATATATATATATATATATATTAGTCGATTCCTATCTTTCTATGCTTCTCTTTCTTTTTCTACACACACACACACACAGATATATATATGTATATATATATGTATATATATATCAAATCATCTATCGCTCTCTCTTTACACACACACACGTATATCTATCTATCTATCTATCTATCTATCTAGCTAGCTAGCTAGCTAGCTATATATATATATATATATAGACTGGCCCCACCTTAATTATTATGCGTGGGACGCAGTTGACCGAGAGACCAGAAAAACTCCTTGTAATACCAAAGATGAACTGAAGGCAAAGATCTGCCATAATCTTTCACCAACTTAAACAAGGAGACTCTCTATATATAATCAGTCAGTCAATTATTTATCTATCTATCTAGCTCACCGTAACCACTAATACAATATTTATCACATGGAGCCGTGCATTAGGGAACTTGTTGCATTCGTAATTGCCCACAATCACTGAAAAAAACTTCTAGAAACTGCAAAGTGTGGTTGTGCACAAGCAGTTCAGGCCAATGTTGAAAGGAAGGAAATTGGATACCAAATGTTTTGGAAAATCTCCAATCAGATTCTGAATAATGGCAAAGCTTTGGTGCTTATTATAAATGGCCCAAATATCATTTCATCCTCGTCCTTTTGCACTTAAGTCAACTCTAGATGACAAAGGTCATTCTCTTTCCGACATCCTCCGTATATGAAAAGTCTCGTCCCTTATATGGCCACTGGTCCAGACAAAATTCCCGTGGTTTTCCTTAAGAATATTAATCCGGAGTTATCCCCGATCTTAACGAAATTATTTAACTGCTGCTTGAAGGAGAAATCCTTCTCAAGTCTGTGTAAGTTCTCAAGTTATTTTCAGTTTTTAAGAATGCGAGTGAGAGCATATCTCCATCTGAGCATAGACTTATCAGTCTTCTCAGCGTCATTAGCAAAACTTTTGAAGCTATACTCAAGAAAAAGGTTGTTGATCACAGCAGGAACAAACTCTAGAACCGTGGTTCCTAAAAGATGCGGCGTATCTCATATGTGCGGCGAAAGAAGATAGCAAGTGAGACAGAATGATTGAAAGATAATCAAAGATTTAGAAAGAGTTTTAAAAAATTATATGCTAAAAATTAATATGATTTCAAAATATAAAATATTAACATGGATTACCTGTGATTGCATATATGAGTTCCAGAATAAATAGTTATAAATAATTATTGACCGATTTTATCATTGTGATATTTTGAATTTTATTAAGTATTAAGAACTAGTATTTTTATTAAGTATTAGTAACTAGACTCCGCAAAATGGAGGACAGAGTTATCAATGATAATATTCTGATTTAGAATCAACGATTATCTCCCTTTAACCGTCTCACTGTTTTTTTTTTAATTTTTAAATGTACTTTTTATCACATAAGATTTGGTGAGGCGCGAGCAAATTTTAATTCCGAAAATGCGGCCCAGAGAGAAAGAAAATTGTGAACCACTGCTTTAGAGCGATGAGCAGTACGTGTTTCAATTAGCCCTGTCCACTACTGATATCTTAACTGCCATTACTCACAAAATCAGTGAGACACTAAATACATCTTGAGGACGATCGCATTAGATATTTTAATATTTAAGGTTTTGACAAGGTGTGACATAAAGGGGTACTGCACAAGCTCTCTAACTACGGGATCATTTGAAAATATCTTCGCAATTATCAAATTCTTCCAGTCAATTAATGTTAGCCTTATATTCACTTCTCGGTTCAATCATCTTTATACTTTACATAAATAATCTGCCTAAGAGTATACTCCGGTATTTTGTGAATATCTATGCTGCGGATACACTTCCAAAATTCTAGATGACTAGAAATTGGCAACTCATCTCTCCTCTGACCACATTCAATGCCTTGAAAACCAAACCAGTGTCATTCAATCAACGTCGATCAAACACTGAACTCTCACCAGTTGCGATGAACGATGCTTCCTCGGGGGAGGCCCTGTGCCTTGATTGCCTATTGGAACTCAAACTCAACCCAGAACTCAAATGGAACTCGTACATATGATTCATAGCTAAAGATGTAGGAAAAATGGTCAGTTCCTTGTATCGCTCCAGTTATCCTCTACTTTTACAAGAGTCAAATCAGGCAGAAAATGGAGTACTACTGCCATATATGGGCAGGAACTGCACAGTCTTAACTTTCCAGTCTCGATAGAGTCTAAAAACATTTTCTTTGTGGGTGACGAATTATGTTTCACTCTATAATACCTTTCTCACAGACGAAACGTCGCAAATCTCTCAATGCTCTGTTGCTACTTTCATGAAAAGTGCTCAGACGAACTACATTCCATAGTTCCACTAGTTCTAATCTTCACGACTAAGACCTGACATCCCACGCACATTGTAGCGAACCGCTCTCATTCGCTTCGTACTTCATTAGTAACATGTATGTTCCACTCGACACAGATTTTTCTTACAAACCGCTGCTCTGCTGAACCGACTCCCAAGAGGATGCTTCCTCGATCATTACAATCTTCACCTGTACAATTATAGGGTTAACCGTTGTCTTCCCCATATATTCGTTTAAATTGTGTCTCGGAATCTGTAACCCTCTAACTCCAGTGGATCATTCTGGCCATAGCTCCATCTCTTTCTCTCTTTATATATAAATATATGTCAGTCGATTCATATCTATCTATCTATCTATCTATCTATCTATCTATCTATCTCTGTTTGTTCATCTTTCTCTCTCGGTATATATCTATACATATATATCAGTCAATTCAACTCTTTCACTCTCTCTCTCTGTCTTCATATATATATATATATATATATATATATATATATATATAGTAGAAACAGAAAAACATACCCATCAACGTAGTATGGTGACTTTCAATTTTACTGCTCGATGTGCACCTCCATCCAATAAATAATATATACACAGGATACGATGGGTAAATAGTCGCCATTTTATATTTTTAGTTTCGCGCATGCACCTTTTTTGGTTTTGATTTTATCGACTGCACAGTATAGAAGAGTCAGTTGGGCACCATCTGTGAGATAAAGAGCACTATGACGCAATTCACTCCGACAGAAATTTGGAAACGGAATGCTGTGATGCTTTCCATTCGCGTCGGAAGCTCCAATAAGAACATTTCAGTGTTTGGTTGTTAATCTGAGGACAGTGCAGATGATTCGGAAAGAGTTGGATGAGTCTAATGATGATTACGAATGTGTTTGGAGAGATCACTAGTGATGGACATGTTATGCCTTTATTCATCTTCCTACAGGGTCGCAGACTCAACATGGAGGCCTATATCAAGTGCGTAGAGGAGGTAGTGCTGCCCTGGGTGAAAAAGGGTGGCTACTGGAAAACCCTATGTCTGGCAACAGGTCGCTTCACCATGCCACACGAGAGCCCAATCATGACTGTCAAACAATTTCTTTCTACTACAGTATTACCCAGTACATCTGGCCACCTAACTCCCCAGACTGGCCCCCACCTTGATTATTATGTGTGGGACGCAATTGACCTAGAGACCAGAAAAACTCCTTGTAATACCAAAGATGAACTGAAGGCAAAGATTATGGCAGCATTCACCAACTTAAACAAGGAGACTGTTCAGAAGAGTTACGGGAGATTCAGAAATCGTCTGTAGGCCGTGGTAGAAGCCAATGGTGATTTTATTGAATAAATTTACACTTTAATCAAGTATGCCAACATTGCCACAGAGTAATGATGACTTATTTTAGTACTACACGAGGCTAAACTGTTTTGCGACAACTAATAAAGTAAGGTGAACTTACCTGTATTGAAATTCAGCATTTAAGATCGAGGATTTTATCTGGGCTCGGACACTAATACAAACGACGGGAGGTACGCAATTTTCTGCTCGTCAACTAACAAGCATGTCTCTCCCACTTGTTTCGCAATTGCTCTTTCTTTTCTCTATGCATGCCTTATTTCCTTTCCTTTTTCTCGTTCATTCATTTCTTTCCTTTATTCTTTTCATTGTCTGTTCATTCTTAACCGAGTTAATTCATTCATCTAC